TTTCCACATGACTTCCAAACTCCATCTAATGTGTGGGTGTGGGTCTTAACATCTGTTTTAATCTGCTGTTGGGTGGAGCCTCTCAGAAGACCATTATGTTAGGTTCCTGTCTATGAACATAGTAGTGTCAGGAGCTGGCTTTCTCCCATGGTGGTGGGTTTTAGGTTGGGCCATCATTGGTGGGCCATTTTCTCAACCTGTACATCTTTAGTAGGGTAAAATTTGGTCGAAGGTGTTGTGGGTGGGTTGGTGTTTCCCTCCCTCCACTGAAAGTCTCGCCTGGCTAGGAGGTAGCCACTCAGTCTCCATGTCCCTCAAATCTAGGAGTCTTATCTAGAGTCACCCCATATCCTCCCAGGAGCCTACCCTGTTACAGGTCTCCAGCTTTTTTCAAAGATGCCCTCCTACCTTGCTTTCCCTTCTCTCTCCCAGCCCTCTCACCCCCACCTACACTCTTCCTGCATCTGATCTCCACATTTGTTCCCCTCTCCACACCATCTCCTACTCAGTTCCCTCTTTTCATCCACTTCTGATATCTATTCTATTTCCCCTTTTGAATGGGATTCAATCATCCTTCCTTGGATCTTCATTGTAAGTTAACCTCTTCTGGTCTGTGGATTGTAGTATTGTTATTCTGTATTATATGACTAATATACTGGTATACTAACAATCCCTTTGATTCTTAATCCAGTCACTGAGGATATTAAAAGTACATGCTCATAGAGAATTTGGAAAGGTACATGAGCTATTACACAAAAAAATTTTAATGCACAGATAGACTTAATAGTGCTATAATTTTATCATAAATGTCAGCTAGACCTTACACCTATCAAAATGGCTAAAATCAAAAACTCAAGTGACAACACATGCTGGAGAGGTTGTGGAAAAAGGGTAATACTCCTCCATTCCTGGTGGGAATGTAAACTGGTACAACCACTTTGGAAATCAATCTGGCACTTTCTCAGACAATTAGGAGTAGCGTTTCTCAAGATCCAGTTATACCACTCCTAGGCATATATCCAAAAGATGCTCAAGTACACAACAAGGACATTTGCTCATGTTTGTAGCAGCTTTATTTGTAATAGCCAGAACCTGGAAACAATCCAGATGTTCATCAATGGAGGAATGGATACAGAAATTATGGTACTTTTACACAATGGAATACTACTCAGAAAGGAACAGCATGGAAACAAGGGAATAATGAAATTTGCAGGCAAATAGTGGGACCTAGAAAAGATCAGTCTGAGTGAGGTATCCCAGAAGGAGAAAGACACACCTGGTATATACTCACTTATATTGACCTATAAGATATGTTAAACATACTGAAATTTATACACCTAAAAAAGATAAATAAGAAAGAGGACCTGGGGTAAGATGATCAATCCTCACTTAGAAAGACAAATGGGATGGACATTGGATGCAGGAGAAAATAAGTAACAGAACAGAAACCTATCACAGAGGGCCTCTGAAAGACTCTACCAGTGTATCAAAGCAGAGACTGAGACTCATAACTAAATCTTCTGCAGGATGCAGGGAATCATATGAAAGAAGGGGTAGTTAGTATGACCTGGAGAGGACAGGAGCTCCACAAGGACCAAATATATCTGGACACAAGGGTGTTTTATGAGACTGATACTTCAACCAAGGACCATGTATGGATATAACCTAGAACCCTGGCTCAGATGTAGTCCATGGTAGCTCAGTATCCAAGTGGGTACCCTAGTAAGGGGAACAAGGACTATTTCTGACATTAAATTAATGGCTGGCTCTTTAACCTCCACCCCCAACCCTGAGGGAGGACCAGGCCTGCTTGGCTACAGAGGAGGACTTTGCAGCCAGTCCTGAATATACCTGATAAAACAAGGTCAGATGAAAGGGGAGGAGGTCCTTCCCTATAAGTGGACTTGGAAAGGGACAAGGAGGAGATGAGGGAAGGAAGGTGGGATTGGGAGGGAATGAGGGATTGGGATACAGCTGGGATACAAAGTTAATAAACTGTAACTAACATTAAATTATTTTTTAATTTTTAAAAATGTCAGCTAGACAAAGGATTGTATGTTGAAGGTCTTAGCTAGTCATGTTGGGAGGTTGTAGAATCTTTAGTATTTGTAGATTAATAACAAGAAAGATAGGTATGAAGTAGAAGTTTCTGGATCTTTTAATCTCAGGTGTGTAGTGTGAATATGTTTTTGTTTTGGTTCTTAGTGTGGGATGTGGAAATGTTTTCTCTCCCTTGAAAGAGTGCCCTCATCCCACCCTCCCACATTGAAAATGCAGGTGATGTTGGCCAGCTGGAAACTACCTCATGGGAGGGGCATGTTTTTTTCTGAGCTGGGAAAACAGGTTGGGTGGGTTCTGAGAAGGGATAAGCAGAAACCCAAAAACAATGAGACAAAGCTTTTTGCACCTCTGTGCTTTGCAGGTTGCTATCACTTTGCTGAGTTTCACAGAAAGAAATGTTCCAAAGAACTTTCCCTGCTCCTTTGCCACTTCAGCAGACTTGTGACATTTGGGCAGAGTCTTGACACTTTTGCTAACTGGTACCATTGCTATTGCTGTTGTTTACTCTTTGCTGCTTCTGCTGTGGGTTGCTGCTTTGCTGTTTGTTGGACTACTAGTATCCTACAACTGATATTGGTATATTCCCAAAGAACCCAATGACCCTAAGCAGTAGGAAGTAGCTAAGAGTGATCTACAGCCCCTTTCTATACAACCTCTTACCTAAGATTGGTTTGAGGAAAGGGAAGTAAAGGCATTTAAGAACCTTAAATAAACTAGATGTTTGAAAAATACATAGGTACTTGAGAGTCATTATTGAAAAAGCTTATTGGCATCCCAGCCCCACCTCTACTCAGTTTATTATTGATAATTTTAATATATCAGCAAAACATCACAAAGTCACATGAATATCATATATATAACAATAAGTTAGTCAGATAAATAATTTTGGCTAGAAAATTAACCATGGTCTGGGGAAATTGCCCAGTCAAAAATGCAGTGCTTGTTCCTGAGTCCATTTCCCAAAATTTGGGTAAAAATGACAGGAATGGAGATGACAGGATGTCTCAGCAGTTCACAGTATTCACTGTTCTTACAGGGGATCTGAGTTCAGTTCCCAGTAACAATGTCTAGTTGCTCAAACCTACCTGTCACTTCAGCTCCCAGAGATCTGACACCGTCTTCTTTACAGGCAACTACACTCATTAGTACATACCCCCTCACAGACAAGCATGCAACTACATAACTAACCTAACCAACTCAATGATCTTTCGAACAGAATTCCAGACATGGGGTTGCATGTAATAACCTCAGTTCTGGGGAGACAAAGGAAGAATAATTACAGAAGCACAGTGACCCAACTCCCTAGACTAACTGGTAAGATCCAGGCCAATGAGAATGCCTATTTCAAAGGAGATATAAGCATTCATGAAACTGAACTAGAGTTGGTTGTTTGGCTTCTACACACACACATCTCTGTGTGTGTCCAGGCATGGACACATGCCCCCAAATACATAGGAAAACAAACACATACACATAAAGTTTTAAAGTTTTAATTTTAAAATTAATTTAATTACATACAACTTCATTTAAAGATGTGATTGTGTTAAAACAAGATGTTTGGGCTGGTCACACTCCAGTCTCTGGTAATCTTAGACTATGCTAAGTATACATTTGGAAAGAGAAGGGGACAGTTGGTATAAACATACATAGAAGACCCTGTGAATATATAGCAAGAAGACAGTCATCTGCAAGCAGCAAAACACTAATAACAAAAAGCACGGGTATTGAATGTACTTGACTTTTTTTGTTTTGTTTTGCTTTTTGAGACAGGGTTTTTCTGTATAGCATTGGAAGTCCTGGGCTTAATTTGTAGAGAAGGCTGGCCTTGAATTCACAGAGATCCACCTGCCTCTGCCTAGTCAAGTCCTGGGATTACAGGCATGTGCTACTGTACCTGGCATTGTACTTTACATTTTGCTTCAGAAGCACATAATACAAACTATAGAGCTGTTGAGGCATAGGTAAGAAATCTCTGTGTCATAGAAGGGACTTGATTAAACAGGTGAGTTGGAGAATGGCAAGGAAATTTAGACTGTATTTCAAGTGAAAGTGTTAATTAATCTAATTCCTCCCATCACTATCAGGAGTTGATGAAAGACATCAAGATGATTGACATGTATGCAGACATCTCAGATTGAACTGAGTTATGCATCAAATTTTCAGCATCTTTATGCTGGAGTCTCTACATCAGTTACCTAACAACGCTAGTTTTGTGAAGTTTCATAAAATTGATAGGTTAATATGTTCCAACAGCACAATAATGCACATAACTGTTAACTCTAATCATGTTTATTTTCATCATACTGGTGGACAGACACTATTCATAGTTTTGTTGAGTGAATTCCACAACCATTTCTTAGAAGATTGAGAAACAAGTTAATCTACTCAAAATCTTATCATTAAATCTTAGAATTATGATTTTAACTTAAGCATTATAGGTCCATAGTTTTAATTTATTGAGCACAATAGCACAACAACACCCTTATGTGCAGTGTATAACAAATTATTAATATTCACAAGGCTCATATTACCCCAACATATTCTACAAAATAACACATTTTCAAATTAAAAATAAAGTAATTTTTTTTCTACCACAATAGAGCTATATAGTGACATTGGTTCGTTTTACTACAAAGCGCTAAACTTCCTTCTTCCCTTTAGAAACAGTTTTTTACATGTTCGCTTCTTATTATGCTAGATAACAGGTATAAACATTCAGTGTTAAAATTTATTTAGGAAACATATAAGATTAGAATACATTCAGAATGCTTTTTGTCATATGCATATTTTGTTTTCTAATTTTTGATCCTTCAAAATGTATTAAAATAGATATACCTGAATTGTAGATTGAATAATGCACTCTAAAACAATGGTTGGTTACATTGTTGCACTTGACAAAACCTTTAGTCCATAATTTTAAACTGGATGGTAGGAGGTATTCACACCATCTGTGTCTTACATGCATCTGGTTGAAGTTCTTTCCTTATTCTTTCTTTAAGTACAAAATTATACTTACAAAATGGTGGTCTTTGAAAGAAAAGAGAAAAACAGCTATTAGTAAAGTAGCAAATGTTCTTTTCTTCTAATGTAAATATTAGGATAGTCTTATCTGTAACTAGCCAGTTTTCCAAAAGTAGGGCACTGGAAAAGTTCCGTAGAAGTGAGCCCACTTGTCTCATTTGTGTGGGGATAACATAGAGACTATGCTTATACAGTAAATAAATCTCCATTCCATTCCTCTTTCTGCTACTACACAGAATGTTCACATTGTACAGGAAAAACAGTACTGTTAAAATTAGTTCCTTTCTAAATTCAGTTTTAAAGTAGCTAGAATATTCCTTCCATCATGACTACCATGAAGGAGAGTGACATATAAGACATATTTTATCCAAATGTTCTCCTTCAACACTAGTTTACCATTCAAGAAGATGAAAATATCACCATGTAAAATATTGTACATTTTAGTGAGACTGTGAATACAGTATTAGAGATAACTAAGAGATGAAACTACTGTGTTTTTTTTCATCTTAAGAATTTTAACCAAACTTTGAGCAGAGTGTAGGGAATCATATGAAAGAAGAGAGAGACCTGGAGAGAACAGGAGCTCCACAAGGACCAAATATATCTGGGCATAGGGGCTTGTCTGAGACTGATTCTCCATCCAGGGACTATGCATGGATAAAACCTAGAATCTCTGCTCGGACATAGCTCATGGCAGCTCAGTATCCAAGTGGCCCTCCTAGTAAGGAGAACAGGGACTGTCTCTGGCATGAACTCTATGGCTAATGTGTCCTCCCCCTGTGGGAGGAGCAGCCTAGCAAGGCCATAGATGAGGATATTGCATCCAGTCCTGATGAGACCTGATAAGCCAGGATCAGATGGAAGGGGAGGAGGAGCTCCCCAATTAGTGGACATAGAGAGGGGGTAAGGAGGAGATGAGGGACGGAGGGTGGGATTGGGAGGGAATGAGGGAGAGGGCTATAGCCGAAACACAAAGTAAATAAACTATAATAAATATAAAAATAAAAAATACAAAAATAAAGAATTTTGCCCAGTTGTTTATTTTCTTGTTAACCATTAAAGAAACTTGCAAACAAAAACAAAAGAAATTTAAAAACAAGCAATCAAGTTAATTAACAAAAGTTTAGTAAAATCTAAGGAAGGGGAATAATTAACACATAGCAATTATATTTTTTTAATTGTCAGTGGTAGCTAAGTCAAAAGAGATTATGTCAACTGCATAGGATAGTTATCTTACTCTTACATGAGAATCCCCAGCCTTACATGGCTGCCAGGCTCCTAGCTTGGTGGAAATACTATTGGGTGTTTTTTGTTTATTTGTTTAACCATGTCTTATTACTTAGCTCAGGCTGGTCTTGAATTCCCTATAAACCTTCTGTTCTATCCTCTATATTCAGGACTGCAGGCATGGGCCACCACAGCTATCAATGTTTTGAAATACTTAAGAGCAAATTTTGTTTAAATTTTAGATCGACTTTTATAAATAATAAATTTTATGTTTGTATATAAAATATAAACATTGAGCATTATAAAAATTAATAGGGGGCACTTCCCATTTGAAATAATAAAAGCTGCTTACAACTTTAATTTTCACATTGTGGCACTAAAATTGTGAAATGATACTACTCAAATTCTATAAAATACTTCAGATGTTGGCAGAGGCACTTTTTATTATGTTATAGGGGATCAAAGTCTGTGCCTTTATGAACTGGAGATGACTCGGGAGAGCACTTGTTGCTCTTCCAAAAGACCTTGGGAGTTGATTCCCAAAAACCACATAGCAGCTATAAACAGTTCCAAGGCACCATATGGAATCTGTAGGCACAAGTTACCCACATAGGAAAAATACATATGCACATGAAATAAATCAAAAATTATTTTTAAAAATTAAAGAAAAATTGAGGAAAGATTTCTAGTCCCTCAAAAACTTATATGCCTTCAATACTTGAATTTCTTCTGCCACATTTTACATTTAAAATGTGTCCGACCTACAAATGAAAAAGTTATCATAGCTACTCTGTGCCTTTCCAGACACATATGTCTAAAACATATGAACAAAGCAAGGGTGTCTTATTTCACTTTTTAAAATAGAAAGAAGCTCACAAGCTAACTACCATGGATTTATGTTTTTAACATATAGAATATATGTCATCTTAAATAATCCTCCCTTTATAAGGCATGTGCAACATTATAAGAACAGTTTAAACAGATACCATAGTATTTATAGACTCCAATCCCTTTGGAAGTGCAATTCCCACTTAAATGCTTTATTAAAAATATGTAAGTGGCCTTAGTCATGGTGATTATCACGGTAATATGACAATAATGAAGATACACTTGTTAGAAGAGCAAAAAGCATATACAGCTGGTCAAAATGCAAAACTTAACGCTACCTACGAAACGTACTCTGACTTTCTTAAAGTTTCTTTAAGTTTAAGACATGTCACATGATCTAACAGCCCTGCTTCTAGGTGTCTGTCGAAGATAAAAGACACCTTATAGCCACATAAAAGCGTACCTGCAAGTACAGGTTTGCAGATAAAAACAAAACCAATCCACGTCTTTCAAGTGGTGAGCGGCTGAGGAGTGAATGTATGTAATACTTTCACGATAAAATGTTCTTCATCAATAGCCTTCACTGATACAGAGAACAGCTAAGTGCAAAGTGCTACAATTACAATGGCCTACAATCCTACGTCTATACTATCAGTAAAAGTACGAGCCAGCCACAGCAGCTGGGATTAGAAGTGGAACCTAAAAGCCAAAGAGCAGCACCAATAAACTAGTGAACAGAATATTCTAAATTTTGCTTCTAGTAGTTAACTACAATCCACTTACTAAAATCCATACGAACAGACACGGAAATGAATATTTACCATTAAGCTTTTAAAAGTGGCTTCAAGCAAAGCTTTTTCTGGAAGTCATCCAAGGTGACATCCCCTCATATATATGTATATGTTCCTTAGTCCTTCAAGACTAAAATCTTGTTTACTGGGAGTTGCTGCGGGGTGACTCTGTGTGGTCTCTAACAAAATGTATCTGGAACTATAATTGCTTATCGAGGGTGTGCATATTATGGTGGGTCATAAGACATCACATCCTTTATAACTCACACCTCCCACAGGTTGGCACTCCAGATTCTCATAAGAGTGTGTATTATCTGTGTGGGCATATCTAAAGAGAAAGGGCTTCTGGATGGTTACAGCAATTTTCTAAGTAATTAAACAAAGCATACTTTCATCCAACATCTGTTAGCATCGCTATCTCTAGCCAGATGATAAGAGCTTCCAAAGTGTATTTTATATGTTCATTTTCTGTGTCAAAATGATTACATACCAATTTTATAAATCTAGTAAAATATCATAACACACACGCGGTTTCGGTTTTCAAAAAAAATCCCATGCCCGTGTGTTTCAGGCACTGGAGCACATACTAGTGGCACTGTCCTATTTCTCACTTCACCTGTGAGGATGCACGATGCACCGCAGTGGTGCAAACATCAGCTGATAAAATGGGGACACAGAAACGGAAAACATAATTAACTACGTCTTAGTTAGAAACACAACATATGAAACAATTTTCCAAATGATCTGCAATGAATAACTAAATTTATTAATTAGTGGAAATGCTTTTTATTGTAAAATATAGCTACCACATTTGGTGTACGTGAAAACAACTCTGTCCTTCAAGATAGGATAGCCCGCTCCAACCATGCATTCATAAGAAATGTCGATATTAAATAATCTTGCAGGTGTATCTGTGGACTTTGATGTTTTTGCATTCATGTCAGCCACTGGGACAATGAAACTGCCTTTCATTGCTGTAACAGCATTTTACTGATTTTTGAGTGTATGTATATCATACTGAAATTATAAAATATCTGCATTTAAATTAATTTATCAACACTCCTCTGTGGGTGTAGAATTCCTCTAAGTGTATGTTCTCAGCTCCAGAAAATGGCTCAGTCAGCAATACAAGCATGAGGACCTGAACTGGATCCCTAGCACTCACATAAAACAGCTTGGCGCAATGGCATTCTCTTAGAATTTCAGCACTGGAAAGGTGGAGAGAGGCATATTCTTTGGTCTCATTAGCATGAAGCCAGTGAGAGACACTGTCTTCAACAAAATGTGAATGACACTTGAAAAATGATACCTAAAAGTATCAACACTCACATGTATGCATGCACCCATATACAGGCATTCTATATTATTATACACACGTATGCGTATATATATATAATCATGCATTTCTTTGGTTTTTACTTTCTGCAAATACTTATCATCTCCACTGCACTTTTATAAAACATAATTGGGAATTCAAATCACGTACACATCTCTCTGTATATGGATAAAACTTGAATTAAAGCAGAAATATTACAAACAACTAGCGATATTATAATCAATCCACAAACCGTTTCACTGACCGTGAGTATATAGGTGGGATACATGTGAGATAGGCATGTGTCTTATGTGTAGTGCAGGCACCCGTACATGCGCATGAAGAGGCTGGGGATGATGTCATACTCCCCTTTGATTTTTCCACTTCAGTGCTTTGAGATACGATGTTTCACTGAGGTTGGAGAGTGTTGCTTGTCTACCCTGGCTGGCCAGCAAGCCCCACTGATTCCCCCTGTCCCTTCCATTTGCACACAGCAATGCTTGACTTTTTCAGTGTTGCAAAGAGTCCTACCCAAATCCTTATGAGGTAGCCTAAAACATAGTTTCTCTCCTCTCTTCCACTTCTCTGTCTCAATTCGTCACTGATGCAGCTGAGATTTACAGCTTTCCAGCCTTTTTCTTTTTGTCTTAAACTTTATTAAAATGATTTTTGAGCTTCAAAACAAAAGGAAACAAAAATTGGCTGATAAGCCTTTAAGGGATATATTATTGTGTGGATTCCCCAAATTTGTAATGTCCTATGAAATGTGTGTTAGTGGGGTTTTTTTTTTCTGTTGCTCAGATAATGTGATTCTAAACTGTCATAAGTATCACTCAAGACAAAAAAAAAAAAAAAATACATTTTTAAACATTTTAGATCCTTGTGTAATAAAATCGACCAATATTTGCACACATAACAATGCATCCAGCCCTGATGAGCCCTGCTAGGCTAGGGTCAGAGGGAAGGGGAGGAGGACCTCCCCTAGCAGAGGACTTGGGGAGGGGCACGGAAAGAAATGAGGGAGGGAGGATGGGATTGGGAGGGGATAAGGGAGAGGGCTACAGCTGGGATACAAAGTAAATAAACTGTAATTGATATAAAAAAACAATAATTTTTAAAAATATATTGTAATCAAAATTTAGATTTCATACCTTTCTGGATATGTGAGTGATTTTAACATGAGACTCTGGATTCCGTATTGGCATGTGGGACAGGGAACACTTGAGGACTGAAAGTATGTCATGTAGATGCGTGAAACGTTCCGAACATCACTTAAAACCCGAGCAAGAATCTTGCTTTTATGAAGATTATTGAAAGTCTTGCTCCTCCTAAGCAGAAAAACTAGATATGCTTAATATATTAACAAATTAAACATTTTTTTCTAAAATCAGTGTAATACTACTTAGGCAAAACACAGAGGACAATTTTATAAGGAAGAAGTCAGACAAGACAGAATAAAATAACAGTAAGGATATATTGTAAACCATTCTTCATCCTCATAGTTCCTTCAATCAATGAGTTCAAATTGGTAACTGTTATTCTCTAACACTTTTTAAAATATTTTCCCTAAAATAAAGTACAAAAAATACTGAGATTTAAAATTAAAAGTAAATATAATATTTTATACTCATAATTTTATGACCACTCTCAGTGAATAAGGGATTGTAACAAGGCTTAGAGCATACATTTGAACCTTATTTAGCCAGCACCTTCCTTTTTAGGAGAAGAATGGCCACGTTAAAGGTATGAAAACTGAGATTGAAACCATACAAATTGCTTTCTAGAATTCACGCAGCTATTAGTCAATCATGTGCTATGGAAAACCGTGTATGTTAATTCTGTGCATTACTCCTTCCCCCAATTCTTCATCTTTGTGTACCGGAAACATGAGCCCATAAAATAATTCTCATCATTATAATGTAGGCAAAATCCAAGCAAAATAGAGGCCTTTCTACTGCCATGTCTCAAATTAAGTGTCTAAAATAAAGGACATAAGAGAAGTAGACCCCAGGAGCCATGGGATTTGGGTCAGAAGAAGGAGAACAAAAGAAGTAAATAAAGAGGAGAAACAGAAGGAAGGAGAATAAAGAAAGGAAAGACAAATCTTCATTGAAAGAATAAGGGAGGGTGGGATTGGGAGAAATGAGGGAGAGAGCTATGGCTGGGATACAAAGTAATAACCTGTGATTAATATAAAAAAATAAAAAGTAATATAAAAAAGAATACTGTATCTAGAAGGGAAAATTACTGGAGCAAAGGCAAGCGTCCACTTTGAACAGAGAGTGGCACTTGGAACCCTAGGCATTTCCTACCAACCCTGACCTCTCCTAGTCCTACTATCCTTTACATTCTTCACCAAGCTTAGTCTCTTAAGGATGTCACTATTCCCTTCAAAGTTCATGTCTTTGCTCTTCCCCTAGCAGGATTACCCACTTTTTCCCCGAATATGACTTCATTGGACATATCTCCAGTATGTTTCAAAGACCATCTGCAGATTTCACAGTGACTGCAGCACACCCAAATAGGAACGTCACCTACAAATTGCCATCTTCCCCAGGGGTTCCAACCGCCTAGACTCTTCTTCCTTCCCTCCACCTATCCCCTCTCTGTCATTCTCCACTCTCTACTCTCCTTCCTTGTGTCTGAATTGCTTCAGTGTAAAAAAATCAATAACAGCTGTCTGGAGGAATGATGGATATCATAATTTGGGCTTACTTATTAATTTAATGTCTATGTGCTGCAATAGTCTAAAAATTTTTAAGACAAAAATCTAATTTATTTAAAAAATAAACTTCAATGCTTAGCATGTTTTCTTGACTGTGTACTCTCTGAAAACATTTCTTGAATGATTAACTTGTATTCTGTCCATGGATCTCTACTCCATGTCCATGATTTGGTATAGAAGAAATTTTTAAACATTTTAGATTGTCCAAAGTTCAAAGTTTGAAGTTATTCTAAGCTGGCTTACTTTCCTCAATTTTACACTTCAGATCAATCATAAAAGCACATCACATATATGTTTGGAAGCCTTAAAACTTCTAGAAGATATCTTCTTGTCTTTTTTTTTTTGTTGTTCCACTCAACTTGTCCATCACTTGTTTCCTCCATCTGTCACTCAAACATGACAGTAGCTATCTCTGAAGACTCTCAAGTTTCCTTTAAACTTACTATCATCTGTAAGACTGCTCTAATCCAAGCATTTAATACTCATATTAAATGTACTCAAAAGTACTACCTAGTACTCAAGACCTAGTACTCAAAAGCCTACAGTGAGATCTGGTGATACAGCTTGGTGTGTAAAGGCTGCCAACCCTGACAGCCTGAGATTCATTCTTGGAACCCAGGAGACTTGATACCCCAGAATTGTTCTCTGGTTCACAGGTGCATGCTGTACCATGCTTACCCTACCTCCCACCACACGCAGACATATTCACAATGATATAATAATAAAAAATAATAAAATTTTATGCTGATAAAACGTTACATTTCACATCCTACTATTCAACTGAGTGCTCTTTAGCAACACTGAATCAAATACAGTGTTCACAGGTCATTTTTAGGAGAGGGGGGCTGGATGAGAAGAAGAAAAGGGAGAAGATGAGAAGGAGGAGCAGAAGGAAGAGGAGGGAGAAGTAGAGTGATCATAATGCAAATGTTGAGCTCAGCATTCATGCATGCGAGTCGCAGTTGATCCTAATCCTTCTCTGTTTGGTAGTGTGCATTGTATAAAGAATAAATATTCCTCTTTCAGTTATTGACAGGGAAATGCATACTCTTTTAAGACTCTTCGATTCTCCTATTATTTGAACAAAAAAGTTCAAATGCCAAGTACCTCTAATAGGAAAAACAAAAGCCAAGCTTAGGTGGACACATTATAATGAGCATACATGTTCTCATAGTTTTATCCGTTTATATATTAAATCCATTATGAGTAAAATGCATCACTCTTTTACGGTGTCTAACTGTTTGCAAAATAAATCAGAACAGATTTCTTCACCTGCTGGAAAAATTGAAACAGCTGTGGCAAGAATGCTGTTTATAAGTTTAGTTGTTCTGTTTCCTCCAGGACATTGAAAGAAATTTCTCCCAGTTTGGTTATAGGACTGCATTACTGTCGCATGTGTTTACCTCTTCTCTGCCTTCAGACAGTATATTAAGTGAAAATGTATCATGAAACTCACTACTCTGATTCAATTATGTGTTAGCTTCCGCCATTGTATTGAGACTCCTTCTGAACAATATCACTATTTCAGTTTGAGTGCCCAGATGTACTTAAAACATCTGAATGTGTTTAGTTATAAAAAATGTGCTGAGTAGGTGAATTAATTCAAAAGCTAACAGTATATTTATGATCAAAAGAAATGATACTCTGTATGTATGTATATAAACATATAAAACTATATAATTTAAGAGATCTACATAAATGAACTATTTAATGAATATATTTTGTATAACAACATATAATATATGATCAGTGTCCAAGCTTGGATGAAAAGGAATTGAAAAGTTCTCTCAATCAAAATATGAACCTGGAGAGAAGTAAGGAATTTAGATCAAAATTCTTATGTGATATATTTTTTATCTTCTTTGAGTGACTGAAAGGAGGTGAAGTAGAGGAGAAAAATAAATACTTTCACACACCCATTTTCATGTCACCACCAATTTATCTGCAATGATTCTTACTAATTTAAAAGTTTTAATTATAGGCTGCAATGTGAAAATATTTATCTCATTTTTTTTTACCTTCCTGGTGTTCACCCAGTATTTTATTTCTGAGAATGATCTTAGCATCCATGATAAGAGCCCTTAGTTTTACTTCATTTTGAAGACCTTAAATATTTTGCAATATAAATTTTTTTCTTGTGATCTTCTTCATGAATTTCAAAGTTTAAAATATTTCCTCTATGTCACCATCATGCCTACTATGAGATATGGCTATGTGTTATATTTTATGACATTGGAGACTTTTAATTAAATGCCAATAGCACTGTAGTGTTAAGGAGATTGTTTTCATTGTTTGATAGTTAAACTTGTGTCCAGTCATGCAGGTTTTCATCTCTCATAGTTAAAAACCAACTGAATCTGTGAGTCACAATATGCTCAGACCGAAGACTAAAGACACATTATATTTACGCCATTGGACAGTTAAGGTATTATGACTATTTAAGCTGTGACAATAGTAAATATTGGAGTTGGAAATTGTAGCTCTTGCAACTCAAAAATCACCAATAACAGGTCAAAGCTGAAGCCAGTTTATAGCCCATCAGTTGTCAAATAAACTTTATTGTTTACTTAGTCACCACACATAAAAAAATGTTTTACTATTTGGTGACATTCTAGAATTTTAAACCAGCACACTGAAAATTATAATTTCAATAAAACATTCACCTTTGTATCTTTTTTCCTTAAGAAAAAAAATGTTTTTTATTTTAATAATTTATCTAGAGATAAATAGATGTTCAGCACACTTCAGCTGAGAATGTGCTTAAAGATTATGGAGCTTTAGAAACATGTCTATGCAATTACATATATGTAAAAAGTTCATTGGAATTGAGGGAAAAATATGTCTCAATATATATTTGGAAGTTATATGATTCAGAGTTCTCTAAATGTTGTACTTTCATTGACTGATGGTAATAGATTTTTATTTACAAAACTGTGAAAATAATATTGACTAAAAGCCGGACAGAGTGAGCAAGCAAGATGGTTAGAAGGACTTAATTAATTAATTAAGAGTAAAAAAAAATTACAAAAGTGGCTTCTCCCATTCCTCTTACATTTGTGGCCATGAGCTGTGAAATATTTGCTTTCTATTTCATATTCAATATTGTCCCATAGAATGAAAGAGTAGAACATTATATATTAAATGATGCTAATATAAATCCTCTCTATTTAGTAAATTTACTCCAAATTATCTACTTAACCATGTATATATTTCAAATAAGCAAAGATGTGATTTATCAGAAAAGTAAATAATAAATGATACTTACATGTAGAGCTTGGGGTATTGAAATTCCCCAAGATTATTTAATAAACTAAATGAAATTGAGCCATTCCTCATAGTTTCATCCAAAGCAACTATGCTGATAACAAAATAGTAGGCTACAAAAAAATGCAAAATGTTATTCACATTATGTTTAAAACTTCCTTTTGTTTTGCTACATATGCAAGTATACACACAAGGACTCATGATATATACAGTAGTTCCCATATTTTATATGCAAATAAAAATATTCAGATAAAATAATTTACCAGTGAATAATACAATCTACTTCATATCAATTTATCTCTAAAATATTTTTAATTCTTTGAGAATTTCAAAGATATTATTTTGATATTATTCATTCTTATTCCCCAATTCCCATATCCACCATCTTTTTATTTCTATGCCAGTCAACTTCCAGTTCTCTAATTTTTCCTCCCCACTGAATACAGATTATGTTGCCCAACCCTTCTTGGGAGTAGAACCTGCCCTGAACTGTGGTCAACATACGAGGGGGACACATCCTTATAGAAAACATTTAAAAAATCTGTGTCATATTTTGAAAAATAAGAACCTGCCAGAAAATCTTGAGTGTGGTGATAATTTGGCTAAATTGATACTAAATTCTAACTCCTCTGTAAGGCAATTAAACAACATTTTGTTTTTCAGGAACATATTTAAATGTTATAAGGTCTCCCAATTACCTGTTAATATATACAGATAAAATTGCTTGACAACTTTAATCATCAATCACATTGGCCTCTGAGAAATAGTAGTGAAGTTAAATAACTGTATGTAGTGTAAATTTATTAGAGATGTTATACCTTAGCTAGACACATGCAGAGATATGCTAATCCAAAAAAATGGGTCTCATATTTTAAAATATATGAGCTCACATTTTAAAAAGATAAAGCTTTAAAAAAATAATTGGCCAAGAGGATTCACTATTGAAAAGCCATCAGTAGGGTATATTTTAGCAATGAAAATATTAACAATGAAAATTAGTGAGAGATGTTGAATCAAAATATATATGTAGAGAGCTGAAGTTCTGAAATATAAGTGAAGATTTAATCTGAAGAGGAAGAAGAAGAAAAAAGAAGAAAGTGGCTGAAAAAGAGAATGAACTAGGAGATGTGAGTTCAGGAGGCACACGTAACTACGATTTTAAACTAAATGGAGCTAGTGTGGGTTGATTCTAAGATTGCTTGGGAAGGTTGATGTTGACTCAACTTTCTAGTTTTGACTGCCATTATTACCATTGTCTGGCTGTTTAAGCTTATATAACCATGGTATTTGGGAGCCAGTAACTTGATTGTTCAATTTACAGTTTTAGAAACAATGAAAAGTCACAGTTAAAGATCATTCTCCCTGGTGGGGTGACATAGTTAGCCCACAGAAGAAGAGGATCCAAGCAGTCCTGATGGAACCTGATAGGCTAGGGTCAGACACTACTGGAAGAGGACTTCCCCCATTAATGGACTAATGGAGAGGGATAGTGGAGGAAGAAAGGAGGAAAGGAGAGTCGGACTGGCAAGAGAAGCCAGAAGGGACTACAACGAAGGTACAAAGTGAGAAAATTGTAGAAGGAGAAGAAGAAGAACAACAACAACAATTATAACCTTGATTTCACTTATTTTGAAATAACATGTTTTTACATAATTATTTTTTTATTTAAATGCAAACAACTTACAACAGAATGGATTTTCACTACTGGTATCCAAATATACAGTGGTCCTAAGAGGCCATTCTTCTGTTCTCTTTTTCAGATCTTCTCTCCATTGCTTAGCTTGATTACCTAAGATTTGAGAAACAGAACACAGGAATTGAATTTTGATCAAAGAGCAAACTAACTTTTCAAATCAGTAAAGTTCTTAAATATCAATGTATATAATCAAATACAGAATAAAGGGTACCTTTAAAATATGTAAGATACTTTAATTTTCAAAGTAACTTATGTTCAATATTAACAAAAATTACTTTACTGTCTGAAAATCTTATTAGAACTTGACCTAATTTGTATGACCGAGATCTACTTGTCTCAGTTTTTATACCATAAAAGAAATCAGGAGTTTATGAATAACTATTTTGGTAAATTCACCAGAATAATTAATTAAATTGCATATAATTTGGAAATACAATTTAACTATAAGAATAAAATCACAATTAATCCCACATATATAATGTTGTATGTATATTATAATAAACATAAACATAAATAAGTACACATATTCCTATGTTTTGAATATATTTATTATATATGTGTGTATATAATACATATTAAATTACTAATATATTAAATATATCTAGATGTTTCTTTACTTATACCTGAAAATGTTTACATTTTAAAATATTTATTAATTACATTTTATTCACTTTGTATCCCCCCTGTAGCTTCCTCCCCCTCTCCTACCAATCCCATCCTTCCTCCCCCTTCTCCACCTATGTCCCTCCCCAAGTACACTGATAGGTGAGGTCCTTCTCTCCTACCTTCTGATCCTAGTCTATCAGATCTCATCAGGAGTGGCTGCATTGTCTTCCTCTGTGGCCTGGTAATGCTGCTCCTCCCTCAGGGGGAGGTGATCAAAGAGCAGGCCAATCAGTTCATGTCAGAGACAGTCCCTCTTCCCATTAGTATGGAACCCACTTGGACACTGAACTGCCATGGGCTACATCTGTGCAGAGGTTCTAGGTTATCTCCATGAATGGTCCTTCATTGGAGTATCAGTCTCAGAAAAGACCCCTGTGCTCAGATTTTTTTGGTTCTGTTGCTCTCCTTTTGGAGCTCCTGTCCTCTCCAGGTCTTACTATCTCCTACTTCTTTTAAAAGATTGCCTGAACTCCACCCAAAGTTTGCTATAAGTCTTAGCATCTGCTCTGATACCTTGCAAGGTAGAGCCTTTCAGAGATCCTCTGTGATAGGCTCCTGTCCTGTTCCCTGTTTTCTCCCTCCTTCGATGTCCATCCTATCTGCCTTTCTGAATGGGGATTGAACATCTTAGCCAGAGTCCTCCTTCTTGATTAGTTTCTTAAGGTGTACAAATTTTAGTATGTTTATCCTACATTATATGTCTAATATCCACTTATGAATGAGTATATACCGTATATGTATTTCTGCTTCTGGGATACCTCACTCAGGATGATTTTTACCAGTCCCACCATTTGCCTGCAAATTTCATGATTTCCTTGTTTTTTATTGCTGAGTAATATTCCATTATGTAGGTATACCAAAATTTATATATCCATTCCTCAACTGAGGGGCATCTAGGCTGTTTCCAGCTTCTGGCTATTACAAATAAAGCTGTTGTTAACATGGTTGAGCAAATGTCTTTTCTGTATACTTGAGCATGTTTTGGATAGATGCCTACGAGTGGTATAGCTGGGTCTTGAGGAAGCACTATTCCTAATAAACTCAGAAAGCGCCAGATTGATTTCCAAAGTGGTAGTACAAGTTTACATTCCCACCAGGAATGGAGGAGGCATCCCTTTCTCCACATCCTCTCCAGCATGTGTTGTCACTTGACTTTTTCATCTGATGTGTGTAAGGTGAAATCTCAGGGTCACTTTGATTTGCATTTCCCTGATAGCTAAGGATGGTGAACATTTCTTTTAGTGTTTCTCTGCCATTCGATATTTCTCCATTGAGAATTCTCTGGGTTTCTTGTTATTTCATATGAAGTTGAGGATTTTTTTTCTTTTTTTATGGTTTATTATGTTTTCCTGATATGTAAGGCATTAACTGCATGTAATCCTTGACTACCTGCTGAGAGCAATTGTAAAGCTAGCTATGGTATACACTCACATCTCTTTACTTGTACCAAAGACTTCCTGTGTTAAAAAAAAAAAAAAAAAAAAGGAACAGAGCAAACTTCCCAGTATACAAAGAATATAGAATGTCTGCCTTTGAGCACAGGAAGAGAAAAGGGAAAATTCCTTAAAAAATATGTCAGGGAATGTATACTCTGATTCTACCATTACCCCACTGATAATTTTCTCCCATGCCATGACATAATAAGAGGTTAATATGAAGGACTCTTTTGATGCCAGTCTAAAATACTAGTGCTACGACGTTAGTCATACAGGTTCTCTCACCTAGTCTAGGGCAGGAGTCTTTGTAAAGGTCCCCACAGTCCACACATAATCCTCTCTGGTAATCTCTGTAGGACCGACAAGGAAATGAAACAAAATTGCACCTTGTTTCAAAAGCGGCAAGGAACAAGTAAATGGCCCTCTGATGGTTACAACTAATGAAATTAATTCCTTAGGGGTGAGGAAAAAAAAAGCAAAAATCATTGTAAATACATGAAATCAGGTTCAAGTGAATCACAGAAAAACTATTAAGTTAAATTAAATTCTGTACTTCTTTTGCATACAAAGCATTGACCACAATATAATTGTATCCCAACCTATCAAGAAGTCCCATTAAAATCTTAAATTGGGCATGTCTTTTTTTCATGAAATTAATGAAACATTTTCATAAAGTAATAAGCCATAAGGCATAGACGTTTAACTGCCTGCACAAACACACTGCAGCAATATTTACGATTATAGTATTTCTCCCTTCTAATTCTATACCCCTAAAATTTTGATCCAGTGTCAAATATCTCTATTAAGGCAAGCGGTCTTAAAACTCACTTACCTCACTTCCTTTCCCGAATCTTTTATATTTTCTTTCTTTGTTTCAAACTCCTCTCGTCCCAGTGGCATTTGATCATGCACTAAACTGCCATGGTGCCCAAGTGACCCAGATTCCACACTCAGAGACCATGGGTCAACCAAGTGGCCAGAGATAAAGAATCTGTGCTATGTGGTAATATGTTAACCATACCTGCTAAATCTTAGAATCAAACTCAAGTTCTAGGATATTCTAGGACACTTTAGCTATATGTGTTTTTCTAGATAACGTGAAATTCTTATCTGTGGTTAAAATGATGAACTAGAATCTTTGAAACCACGCAAAACAGGTTTCCTCCGTGACCAAGTGTTTTATATGCTAGTAAACTTTGTACATTGAGTGGTATCAATTTAAATTCTTTCTTGCCAAAAACTCTCCTGAGTCATTATCAAAAATTCTAATTTAAAAATATTGCCCAGAAATTTAGAAAATAAAAAGTTCAGTTTTGAATCATGTGTAAATATAATCGGAATATATCTTAGAAAAAAAATCTATTTCCAATAAAATTAAAAGGAATGAAAATACTTTTGATGTACCTGAAAAAACTGTTGTAGGACAACCTGGCTGCCGTTTTCCTCCATTTGGATAAAAGTCAACATGTCCGACTGGCTGTAGCATGCCTAAACCTAGAAAGAAAGCACCCATGAAGAAAGCAGTCTTGCTAGGCCACAGAGAAGGACATTGCAGTCAGTCCTGAAGAGACCTGATAAGCTCAGTTCAGATGCAAGGGAAGGAGGACCTCCCCTATCAGTGGACTTAGAGAGGGGTCAGGAGGAGATGAGGGAGGGAGAGTGAGATTGGGAGGGAATGAGGGAGGGGCTACAGCTGGGATACAAAGTAAATAAACTGTAATTGATAGAAAAAATTAATAAAAACACAAAGGACTTATAAAAATAAAAATAATAAACACCAAGGCAAACAACACTAGAACCCAATGCAAAAAAAAAACAAACAAACAAACAAACAAAAAAACAAACAAAATGAAACCTCAATTCTTTCTTATTTTACAACCTCTTCCTCAGGATCTAAATTTCACATTTTGTTTTTAAACACAAACCTCATAAATACTTATTATTTTACCATTGGAATCAGAATGGATGACATCTACAAATTTTGCATCAGTGTAATCTAATCTGCTATTCGCTGGTTTTCTAGAAAAGTTTGGTCCAGCTGGGTCAAGACCTGAAATGCAAGATAGGAAATATCAATCTAATTATATTTTACTACTTTGCTCTGTTTGATACTTGCACAGTGTCAGTTATAAACATAAATATTTGCAATTTCGTTTTCACATGTCAAAACATATCATTATTCAAATGTTTATTGGCACCCTTCAAAAATGTTCCAATCACAGGAAAAAGTCTCTACAAAATATTAAGACATTTTTAGCATTTTTAACTAAGGAGCAGATGGATTAAGCTATGTAACTCTGTATTTCATAGTAATTGTGACCTCTATTGATGGAGGAAAAGAGCTAACAAATGTCATCTGGACCTCTCTTGAATTATTTGTCTTTATTGGCCTCATCCTATATCTGTCAGTAGGTCTAAAGTGTTTTTCAGATATCAAGACTTTTGAGGTTACAGAATAAAAGGAATTTACTATTTTCTTAGCTTTCTATTTTGCCTCTACGAAGAGTTTGTTATACATCCTTAAGGGATAATGTTACAAATTCCATGAAATATGGGTGTTAGTCTATAAAATGAATTCTAACTTAACGTTCATTGACTTTCTGACCAAAGCAAAGGGGTGGTAATAAAATTCTGTCCATTAAAGAAAAGACACCCTGTTTTCCAGACTGACAGGACAGAAGAAAAAAAAATAATTTAAAAAGTTGTCCTTTAAATCACATAAATATACAAATCAATGTTATTTTAACTATTATTTACCTAACACCCTTCCATTGTTCCTATTTTATTTCTCAGCCTGTTTAACTGAGTGGCCTACCTCTAACTTTTTCTTCCTCTAACCTTTTTCTGATGTAAGCAATCTGTATTTTTGGTTTTTTAAAATTTTGTCGTTGTATGTCAGTAGAGCAAAAGACAAGGAAGCGCAAACATCTACATGAGTAATTTCACCTCTACTTCCCCTCTTTTATGGAATTTTATTATGACAATGTTATCCTTTATAAATAATTAGAATTGTCATAATTATCTATCCCCTTGATAGGGATATAAATAATTGTTTAATAACCTGACCCGGACAAAGGATGGAAATTTATGTGAGCACCATGTGGTTGCTGCCTTTAACTCCAGTTAAGTTTACTGTATGAATCTGAATGATCTTGAGAATAACAATGTCTCAAAGTTGAATAGCAACTCCTGATTTGTCTAGTACTCAAATATATATTTAAAATAATGAAAATACAACAATCCTTGTGAATATGAACCATATAGCTATTTTTTTAATCTAACGAATAAATGATATTAACTGAATGGATCAAATTTTCTCATTTGTAGTCTTTGGCATTTAGATAAAGCTACAGAGCTATATAGTTGTTTTTTGTGTCCATCACAGTAACTAAGTAAGAATTCACAATCTAGAGTAAAAAGTAGTATTTGAATATAGTTTGTAACTATGCCTGCTAGATTTTTAAATAGACTAAACTCTAGTGGGACAATTGCTAAATAGTAATTTTACAATAGAAAAAAAAATTGTTTTACCTGTAATTCTTCCAAGTTGCCCTTGAAATATCTTTCCTACAAAGCCACTAATATGAGCCCCTAAGCTCATGCCTATGAAATGGAAATTGTCAAGAGATGCTCCATAGCTCTGTAATTTAAAAATACAATATAATAACTTTAATATTGGATAATTTCAAGTAATTCTTAGTATATTGACATTCTGAGATTCATTATTGATTCTGACTTCACATAGTTCTGGGATATAAGAAAGGGAATTTTCAACTTTGCAAAAATTAATTTTGTTCAGATTGCACTATGAAATATCTGATTTTCTCTATACATTTCTAGTAACATCATTAAATATTATTTGAAAATCTTAGAGATTTAATTAGCCATAATATGAAGTGAGATATGGAAAATGACATCTACTTACCAGGATATTTAATGATCAAATAGTAATAAAAAGCATGATTAGATGATTATTTTGGGCAAAATACTTTAACATGTGTTTTACAAGTTTTATATTTAATATTCATGTTTGACTTGTGAGTTATTCATATCCATCATCATATTACTTAACACTATGATTGAAAATATTAAATATTAACTAAATTACAGTCAGTAAATATCCATTTTACTAAGGAAACTAAAGTTAAAGACATGAATAAAGCTATATATAAATAATAAGATGCATTTTACATCAACTAAATTTGAATATTTGTGTCTCTGAAAATTAATATGCTGAAACCCTAACTCTTAATATTATGACCTGTATAGGGAGTGGAACATAGAGGAAGTGTTGATATCACAAAGCTGGGGCATTCAAGAATGGAGCATATATTCCGATAAAGGCTCGTTTGTTTTTTCCATAATGTAAGAACACTGTGAAAACATACAAATTATGAACCAGGACCAGATACTCAGCAGGCCCTTGCTCTTAGCCTCTTGGGCTTCAAAAATGTGAGATAAGAATGTGTTTGTGTAAAAGGTCAGTTTGCACTGTGATAGTGGCTCAAATGGACTAAGTAAGATACAGGCCTTGATCAGTTTGATTGAAAAATACATGCTAGCCTTCTTCTGTTTTCCCTTCAAGGTATATAAAAGCCCCTAGGTAGTGTTCTTAACATTAAATTTGCAGGTAAATGGTAGGAACTGGAAAGGATGATCCTGAGTGAGCTGTACCAGAAGGAGAAAGACACACACAGCATATACTCACTCATATAGACATATAATATAGGATAAACCTACTAAAATCTGTACATCCAAAGAAACTAATCAAGAGAGAGGACCCTGACTAAAATGCTCAATCCCCATCCCAAAAGGCAAAGAGGATGGACATCAGAAGAAGAAAACAGGAAACAACCTAGGAACCTGCCACAGAGGGCCTCTGAAAGGCTCTGCCCTGCAGACTATCGAAACAGATGCTGAGACTTATGGCCAAATGTTGGGCAGAGTGCATGGAATCTTATGAAAGAAGTAGTAAGTAGTAAGATCTGGAGAGTACAGGAACTCCACAAGGAGAACAACAGAACAAGAAAATTTGAACACAGGGGTCTTCCCAGAGACTCATACTCCAACCAAGTACCATGCATGGAGAAAACCTAGAATCCTTGCACAGATGTAGCCCATGGCAGTTTAATGTCCAAGTGGGTTACATAGTAATGGGAAGAGGGACTGCCTCTGACATGAACTGATTGGCCTGCTCTTTGATCACCTCCCTCTGAGGGGAGAGGAGCCCTACCAGGCCACAGAAGATGATAATGCAGCCACTCCTGATGAGCTCTGATAGACTAAGATCAGAAGGAAGGAAAGGAGGACCTCCCCTATCAGTGGACTTGAAGAGGGGCATACATGAAGAAGGGGGAGGGAATATGGGATTAGAAGGGGAGGAGGGAGGGGTTTATGGGGGATACAAAGTGAATAAAGTGTAATTAATAAAAGTTAAAAAATAAGCCTATAGCCAATAACAGACTCAATGAAGAGAATTTTAAATCATTCCCACTGACATCAGGGACAAGGCAAGGCTGCCCACTCTCTCCATATCTCTTCACCATTGTTCTTGAAGTCCTTGCTAGAGCAATAAGACAATTGAAGGAGATCAAGGGGATACAAATTGGAAAGGAAGAAGTCAAAGTATCAATATTTGCAGATGATATGATAGTATACCTGAGTGACCCAAAAAAATCTAAAAGGGAACTCCTACATTTGTTTAACACCATCAGTAAAGTGTTATAAAAAATTAACTAAAAAAAAAAAAATCAGTAGCCCTCCTGTATACAAAAGACAAAAGGGCCAAGAAAGAAATTAGGAAAACAACACCCTTCACAATAGCCACAAAGGACATAAAGTACCTTGGTGTGAGCCTAACCAAGCAAGTCAAAGACTGGTATGAAAAAAATTTCAAGTCTCTGAAGCGAGAATTAAAAGAAGATATCATAAGATGGAAAGATCTCTCATGCTCATGGCTTGGATGGATTAATATAGTAAAAATGGCCATCTTACCAAAAGCAATCTACAGATTCAATGCAATTCCCATCAAATTAACAACACAATTCTTTACAGACCTTGAAAGAAAAATTCTCACCTTCATATGGAACAACAAGAAACCCAGAAGTGCTAAAAAATTTTCTACAGTAAAAGGTCTTCAGGAGATATCTCCATCCCTGATCTCAAGCTGTACTACAGAGCAACAATACTAAAAACTGCATGGTCCTGGCATATAAACAGAATGGTGGATCAATGGAAACGAATAGAAGACCCTGACATAAATCCACACAGCTATGGACACCTGATTTTTGACAAAGATGCCAAATCCATTCAATGGAAAAAAGACAGCATCTTCAACAAATGGTGCTGGTCTAACTGGATGTCTACATGTAGAAGAATGCAAACAGATCTATACTTATTACCCTGCACAAAACTAAAGTCCAAGTGGATCAAAGACCTCAACATAAAACCACACACACTAAACCACTTAGGAGAAAAAATGGGGAATACCCTTGAACTCATTGGCACAGGAGACAACTTCCTGAACAGAACACTAACAGCACAGGCTCTAAGAGCAACAATCAATAAATGGGACCTCATGAAACTGAAAAGCTTCTGTAAAGCAAAGACAACTGTCGTCAGAACAAAACGACAGCCTACAGATTGGGAAAGGATCTTCACCAACCCTATATCTGACAGAGACCTAATATCCAGTATATATAAAAAACTAAAGAAGTTAAACAGCAAAAAATCAAGTAATCCAATTAAAAAAATGGAGTAAAGAGCTAAACAGAGAATTCTCAGTAGAGGAATATCGAATGGCAGAGAAACACTCAAAGAAATGCTCAACCTCATTAGCTGTCAGGGAAATGCAAATCAAATGGACCCGAAATTTTTCACCTTACACCCATCAGAATGGCCAAGATCAAAAACTCAAGAGACAACACATGCTGGAGAGGTTGTGGAGAAAGAGAAACCCTCCTCCACTGCTGGTCGGAATGTAATCTTGTACAACCACTGGAAATGAATTTGGCGCTTTCTCAGACAACTAGAAATAGAGCTCCCTCAAGATCCAGCTATACCACTCCTAGGCATGTACCCAAAAAAGTCTGAAGTACACAATAAGGACATTTGCTCAACCATGTTTGTAGCAGCCTTATTTGTAATATCCAGAAGCTGGAACCAGCCCAGATGCCCCTTAGTGGAGGAATGGATGCACAAATTTCAGTATACCTTAACACAATGGAATATTACTCAGCAATAAAAAAAAAAAAAAAAAAAAAAAAAAAAACAAGGAAATCATGAAATTTTCAGGTAAATGGTGGGACCTGGAAAGGATCATCCTGATTGAGCTGTCCCAGAAGCAGAAAGACACACGGTATATACTCACTCATATAGACATATAATATAGGATAAATCTACTAAAATCTGTACATCTAAAGAAACTAATTAAGAGAGAGGACCCTGACTAAAATGCTCAATCCCCATCCCGAAAGGCAAAGAGGATGGACATCAGAAGAAGAAGAAAACAGAAAACAAGTTAGGAACCTATCACAGAGGGCCTCTGAAAGGTTCTACCCTGCAGACTATCAAAGTAGATGCTCAGACGAATGGCCAACTGTTGGGCAGAGTGCATGGAATCTTATGTAAGAAGTGGGAAATAGTAAGAGCTGGAGAGGACAGAAACCCCACAAAGAGAGCAACAGAACCAGAAAATTTGAACACAGGGGCCTTCCCAGAGACTCATACTCCAACCAAGTACCAGGCATGGAAATAATCTAGAACCCCTGCACAGATGTAGCCCAAGGCAGTTCAGTGTCCAAGAGACTTACATAGTGATGGGAAGAGGGACTGACTCTGACATGATCTGATTGGCCTGCTCTTTGATCACCTCCCCCTGAGGGGGGAGCAGCCTCACCAGGCCACAGAAGATGACAATGCAGCCATTCCTGATGTGATCTGATAGGCTAAGATCAGAAGAAAGGAGAGGAGGACCTCCCCTATGAGTGGACTTGGGGAGGAGCATAAGTGAAGAATGGGGAGGGAAAGGTGGGACCAGGAGGGAGGAGAGAGGGGCTTATGGGGGGGATACAAAGTGAATGAATTGTAATTAATAAAATAAAATTAAAAAATAAAAGAAAAAGAAAAAAATACATGCAAAATTATATATATATATATATATATATATAATGACTTTACAATAATGTTCACACACCCCCAATCACTAATCCATTGTGATTTCAGGATACATAGTGTTTGAAAGAGTTTTAATTTTTTATATTTTTATTTTTTATATTAATCACAGCCTATTTACTTTGTATCCTAGCCGTAGCCCCCTCCTTCATACCCTCCCAATCCCACTCTCCCTCCCTCATCTCCTCCCTGCCCCTCTCTAAGTCCACTGCCAGGGGAGGTCCTCCTCCCCTTCCATCTGACCCTAGCTTATCAGGTATCTTCAAGACTGGCAGCCATGTCCTCCTCTGTGATTTAGCAAGGCTGTTCTTCCCTCGGGGTGGGGGTGGGGGGGTAAAGGAACCAATCATTGAGTTCATATCAGAAATAGTTCTTGTTCCCCTTACTAGGGAAACCCACTTGGATACTAGGCTACCATGGGCTATATCTCAGCAGAGGTTCTAGATTATATCCATACATGGTCCTTGTTTGAAGAAACAGTCTCATAGAGGACCCCAGTGCCCTGATATATTTAGTCCTTGTGGAGCACCTGTCCTCTCCTGGTCATATCACCTCCCCCTTATATCATATGATTCCCTGCACTCTGCCAAAGGTTTGGTAGAGTCTCCACATCTGCTTTGATACACTGCTAGGTAGAGTCTTTCTTAATAGTTTAAAGTAAATGATTTATAGATAAAAAACATATAAATAGAAAAATAAATAATTATTATTTAAGTAGACAAATATGGCTAAATATCACTATATCTAAGTCAAAGTTTCTAATGTTTATGGAAAAAGTATTAATTTCACGTATCACAAACAGTAATGAATAGCACATATACTTTACATTTTTAAGACTTACCAAAAGAATATTAATGGAGTCACTCAAACTCCGGGCAACTAATCTGGTATTTTTAACTGCTCTGTTGTAAACGAAAGTTGTGGCACCCTGGTTCCAGTCTACAACAATGAGATTTACGTCTTCGTGCTTCAGGAATGTCTTAATAAATGTGCGAAGCCACCCTGGGGTGTTGCCCAGCGGTCTGTATCCATGGACAATCCAGACAGCTTTCCTCGACAGGTTAAATCGGACATTAAGCAGGTTATTAGACTCCAACAGTGGCTCTGCACAGTTCATATTATCCCTTGAGTACAACATCAGATTTACCTTTACCTTGGGGAAAAACAAATCTTTCAAGGAGTTCATTGCATTTAACTTTGAGAATTCAAGACATGTTTTATTATTCTCTGCAAAGAAACAAAGTCAATCTGAGCATTAGGATTAAAACTGGAGTTTTGTTGGTATTGTATAATACAATTGAGCAGGAGAACTCTACTTCATTTGCAATTTAACATGATTTACTGAGCAACTATGATGCTAAAGCTATACAAGGATCAGGCAAACGACTTTCTGAATGAGAAGTAATAAAAATAACAGTAACAAATTTGAACAGATGTGATAGGTTAAAACTTATAAACATTCCTTTAAAATAAAATACAACGGGTCAGATTGAAACCACTGTTATTACTAATCAAGTAAGAACATCAGGAAAGGTGGATACATTGATTGTGGATTTTCACTAAAGCTTTACAGAAGTGTACTAGAAAGAAAGTAAAAGAAACATTAATCTCACCATTACCCATATTAACCCAAACCAAAATAACACAGTACCATTTTGCTTATAAACTTAAAGAAGTAAAACAGTTCCTTCTATGCTGCATAAAACCAGTAGCTGAAAGTCTGAGGCAGGGATACCTACAGTACAAGGTTCACCTTGGAAAAATATCAAGAATCTGAGAAGAGAAAGGAGAGAGAAAGAATGCAGACATACAGGAAAGAAATTATTCTAATATGATTGATGAGTGCACATATACAAAATACTTCTAAATAAATACTGAGAGACTACAATGATAGTCTGCTATTTCAGAACTGTATATGTATGTGTGCTGTGTGTATCTATTACACACAAATTACAATTATTTGTATTTATAAAATTTGAATTAATAAAATAAACAATTACATTAATATTGAAGAAGTTAACCACAGGGATTTGTATAATGGCACAGTGTATAAAATACCTTTGTCTAACTATTATCATCTATATATCTATAATCATCTATCATTTATCTATCTATTCATCCACCCATACTAGAAGGATAAAGGCCAGAAAGTAAAATAACTAAAAACGTTCAATAGCAGTTGTCATTGTAAGGCAGTGAAATGTCTGATTCATATTTAGCTTTTTGCAGTTTTTGAGAATTGAGTTATTAAATAAGAATAAGTATAAAAGATTTTATGAAAGCATATATTCTTCTAGAACATTACTTTGGTGATACTATTCAGGAAATATTTTTTTTTAATTTTTTATTAATTACACTTTATTCATTTTGTATCCCCCCATAAGCCCCTCCCTCCTCCCCTCCCGATCCCACCCTCCCTTGCCTTTCTGCATGCATGCCACTCCCCAAGTCCGCTGATAGGGGAGGTTCCCCTATCAGGAAATATTTTTTTCAGTGATTTTCAAATACTTGCAAAAGCATTAGTAAAAGTCACTCCAATGACTGAAAACTTAAACTTGATCACAGGAAAATGAAATATAAGAATTAAAAAATTTGTATTGGTATTATATATAATATGCAATATTTATGATAATTCCAATTTTGAAAGCACAGCTGCATTACTGCCACATGAAGAAAGAGCTCTAAACCTTGTAGAATATTCTCAGGTTAACAGTGGAAGTGTAATTCGAAGAGCTTTGATTCTACATATATAACTAAGTACTGGAGAGAAAGAAGGAAGTTAGGAAGAACGGATACATCCGTGGTAGATATGAACTTGATATGCTGAGCTAATGTTATGAGTCATACACATCTACCTCATACGTCACCAGGTTTGGACAAGGCTGAAATATAACCAGATAATCCAAACTGCTGCTTTGTTACAAGCCCAGATATACTTTGCCTGGTCCTAGAAGGAGTAATGGAAAATTAACCTGCAAGACACCTGCTATATAAATAAGGAGGAAGGCTTTCATCCAAATAGTCATCAGAAAAATGTGGAGCCTTAATTGCGAATTTTCTACAGCAATGTCATTTCAAAAGCAAGAGAAAAAAGATACTGAGGTAAATTTTAGAAGTTATAAAAAAACAGGATCAGATAAAGAGGAAGACAATTAAAACTGCAATTAAGGGAAAATACAATTGCATAGTAAACATTCAAATTATAAAAGCATATAAAATGTAGAAATCTCACCCTGCAGGAACACATGAAAGAAAGAGTTCTTAAAATGATGAAGAGAATAAAGATAAAAGGTGGAGACAAATGATGCAAATTAGAACTTGTTACTGTTCTGTGAGGGTTGTCCAGTGTTTGAAGAAGAGAGGAGGGCTGCTTCATTAACTAAGAAAATGGTTGCATGGCATAAATTGCAAACTCAATAAACTCACCACAAGGTAGAGAAAAATCACTCAATATGACTCACCAAAATGTTTGTCAACTCCATTGATTTTTGATGGAAAATTTAAATGCCCTAAAAATACCAAGACAGAAAATTTGGGTTACAAACAGAGTAGTTGTGAATTCAATATTTTTTCCTTTGAAACAATCCATCATAGAGACAAAAGTTTAGAGAATAAGACTTTAAAGGGAAATGCTTCAGAACTAACAGTCTTATGCCTTTTCTGATACTACTCACAAATAATTAAGTTACAGTGATTGATACAGTGGTAGTGGTTTCTCTCTCTCTCTCTCTCTCTCTCTCTCTCTCTCTCTGTGTGTGTGTGTGTGTGTGTGATGCATGTCCATGTGTCGTGCATACACCTGTGTCCATGCATGAGAAGACCATAGCAAAATTGCAGAGTCCTCTATGACTCTAAACTTGACTTACTTGAGACAGGGTAACAACTAACCCAAAAGCTAGTGAGTTTAACTAAGTTGACAGCCAAGTTAACTCTAAAGGTCCCCTAAGGCTGATGTTATAGACTCTCATAGCTACGCCCACCTTTTTCATGGGAATTCGGGTCCTTCATGCTATCTTCCCAGGCCTGAGGTCACTCTTAAAGAAAAATTAGATTCATTAGAGACATAATTCATAGAAATTCATTTGGAGTGCTGAGTGATTGTGAAAACAGATACTGATTTAACTTTAAAGGTTATAAAGGTGCATAACTAAGAAAGTTAGCAGTACAGTTGCTGCTTGTACTGTTCGACATCCAACTAATAAGAAGAATGTAGGTGAGAGGGAGTATAGAAAATTAAACACATCCTCAATTGAGGGTTTCTCAAGTTTTCCATTTTTAACTCCCAATATAGAAAATATGTCAAAATCACTGAGGGGAATAGTTAAGAAAGGAGTTTATGTAAGGCTAGGCAACGCTGCTCTGAAAATCTCAATGCCAGATATAGCAAATTTTCTTGTAAGTTATTGACCAAGAGGCACCAGAGGATCCCAGAATAACACAGGATCTTGCCATTCCTCTGTTGTCTACCAGAACTGGCTGATAAGATCTTACTGTTCAAAGAGCCAGCCACTGAGATCATGTCAGAGACAGCCCCTGTTCCCCTTACTAGGAGGCCCATGAAGGGGGAGCAGCCTTACCAGGCCACAGAGGAAGACTATGAAAGACAGTCCTGATGAGACCTGATAGGCTAGGTTTGGATGGAAAGGGAGGAGGTCCTCTCCTATCAGTGGACCTGGAGAAAGGGTATAAGGGAGGAAGGAGGGAGAGAGGGTGGAAATGGGAGGGAATGAGGGAGGGGCCTACAGCTGGGATACAAAGTGAATAAACTGTAGTTAAAATTAAAAAAAAAAATTAAAAAAAATAATTTAAAAAAAAGGCTATGGGCCAGGAGACCCTGGGCCTTAGAGGTTATCTTACTAGTGTTATTTGGCTAAATTAACAAGCTGCCTCCTAAGTAGGCTATTGCTACTTCCAACTTCAACCAAAAATACAATAAACGGTGGTGAATACGGTGGTATAGAGCTGCTCACAGTACTGAGAAAAAAATGATGGCTGAGTTCTCGGTCCTAAACAGGACGTTAATATTGTCTCCGTAATGTTCAGGAAACATTAAAGAAAGGTTGATGTAAAGAATGTAAGACCAGAAGACAGGGAGAGGAGCTGTGAAATATTGTCTTCTGGTCATGTCACATCCAATGTAATCATCGTGTCACCACAGATGATTAAGACTGCAAAGAGCCTGTACTATACTGGACCCATCAACAGGAAATCATGGGTTAGAGGACCCTACTACTCCCTCCGGAATGAAGCCTGGATAGTGGGAAACATTTTCTTCACTTACATGACCACTGATGAGCTCACCAGGCTCTGCTGAATAAACATATTAAAAAAATGTACTTTATCTAATAAAAATAGGATTGTTTCTTAGATAGCATTAACAAGAATATTAATATACAGCAATCTGTATACCTGAAAAGCACATGTTTAAAAGTTATGTATGAATGTGTGAGCACATACGGACTGTTAATATAAGGAGAAGACAAAACAACTTCACAAAAGAATTAAAGACATTTCACAGAAGTGTGGTATAATGGCTAAGAATATCCAGAAATGATACCCAACATCATTAACTATCCAAAGAATATAAATTAATACAAAACAATATGCCTTTACCCACACAAACTAAAGTGATAAATATCTGTAAAACTAAAAGGTAAACTATTATTGCACTATTGAAACATATTTACACTGTGGAAGAAAATGGAAAAATGAATCAGTACTGTGGAAACGGGTCATAAATTCTTACAGTGAAACTACGCACCTACTGGACCATAGAGTTTAGTTTTAAATTTTAACCACTGACAACTGAAAACATGTCCTCATTAAAACATGTACTAGTTTATAGTGGCATGCTTTTCATAACTGCCATACTTTTCAAGGACCCCATATGCCAATCAAGAAACACGTGAATAGCTGAGTTGTTGCAGTCTGTATAATTTATTACTTCACACACAATAAATAATAATAAACTATTACCACATAGACAAACTTGGTCAATAGTAAATATATGTCAAGTAAAAGATACAGAAAAGGCTAGAAAAATAAAAATAATCATTTACATGGAATTCTAGAAAAGGGATGTTTAAACTAGAATATCCAAAAAGAAGCCAGGGTGAGATGGACCCCAAAATTGAAAGGAAAGTAATTGCAAAG